GCCCCGGGGCTGGGAGGGGGCGGGCGGGCGGCAGCGCTTGGTAGGATGAAAACCGAGTTGTTGCAGTTGCTGCGTTGTAGCTGATTCGAGCTTGCGTGGGAGATTAAATGGTCCTCTTCTTCAGCCGCCAGTTAACGTAGTTATTATCTAAATAATCCCGTTGGGTTAGTGAAGGTATGAGGATAGTGCGCTGGCGCCTACCGTTTGGAGGTGCACGAAATCTTCAGGCCTCTTTTTCTTACAAATAAATGTGCTTTTGGCTTGAGGATGAAATCATAAAATTCCGTTTTATTGTATCCTGGGGTCCCCCCTCGTGCAAAGGCTTCACACACAAGTGCGTTGCACCATGCCGGCCGGGGAGTTTCATTGACTTCAGTGGATCTGAAGAATAACTAGTGTCTGGAGGTGAAAGGCAGTTGAAGTAGCTTGTTGTATCAGACAGATTTCAAATTTAAGAGTAGTTTTAAGGAAAGCAAGTCTCAAATAACAAGTTACTGTGGGTTAACACTGCATGGTGAAACTTTGTAGAAAAAAAAGTCTACGCTAACTTTTCTGTTGCAAAGAGCTCAGAAAGGCCACAGCTGTGCATTTCTATTTGAAATCTCTGGGTTTATCTTGTGAATCATTTTTACAAATCTGATAGTGCTAACATTGTGTGGCATCCTGCATCACCCTTGAAAGGATCTCAGGTTACCCCACAGTGCTGTGGGACCCTGGGTGAGAATCACTGGTCCACATGCTTGAAAGAAAAAAAAAAAAAAAAGGCAAACTATATCATACTAGCTATTTAGCATGTAACACATGCAATAACACATACTGATCCCAAACTCCAGTCCTAGAGCATGGTGATTAATTAGACTCTAGAGTACATGATGGTGGTTTTCTGCAGCAGCCGTGCATTCCTACTCTCATCCTTGCAGTTTTCTCCCCTGCAAAATCTGTCCCCTCAAGCTGATTTCTACATGTTTGATCTTGAAACTATTACATATTTGATTCAGTCGCATCAAATTACTTCACTTTTTGTTTGACAAATACAAGAAATATACTGATCCTCATACAGTATCAATGCTATTTCCTGCCTCCAATAAACAAGCAATAGCAATACCTGTATGCAGAGGAGGTAGAATTAAATGACTTCTAATCAATTTTTAAATTCCTTTTTCCTTTATTGTTTTTTCTTGTGTTATTATTTAGACTTATTTTCAGACTTATTTTTAGACTTACATTCATTTTTCTCATTTTTTCATGTTATCATATTTTAGTAAGAATAGGTAAGTTTCAGTCTCCATCTTTAATTCAGCATGTTTTTACTATATGCATATCAATACTGCACTCAAATTTATGACAACTGTTGTCACAACAGCAAAGCGAAGGTATCATGGCAATTGATGAACTTCAAGCAATTGTTCAAAGATGCGTAAGTAGTTTACTTTTTGTAAAACTACATGAGAGGTTATAGGAACAAGCACTGACTCCATCTAAATGCATGTTATGTTTAAAAAAAGAAAAGAAAGGTAGGGTAGCTTATAGCAACACCCTTTGCTGTCACACAGGGTAGTCACGTTTAGCTTCCTATCTCCATTTTCTCCCTGGTTACTGTCCTAGAACAGTTGTGTGCAACCTTTTGCCTGGAGGGCTGGACTGGCAGTGACCAGTACCTCTGCATATTGGGTCCAGCCAGTGTTCTTGATTCAGTACCTTGGTGGGCCAGTGGGCACCATCTGGCTGTGGGGAGGGGAGCAGGGCCAGACTGGCCCCAATGCAACCTGGTGGAGGGAAGGGGCCCCAGCCCAGCCCTGCAGAGAAGGGAGGGGCTTGGGGGGAGAGAGGGAGGGAAGAGGAGAAAAAGGAAGGGAGTGTGGCCAGGCCCCAGAATCTGCTGTTTTCCCTAGTAGATGTGGATAACTTTTTAGAGTTGAAATAATGAATCACAGATAAGTTAAAATAAAATTAAGAAGTTCTAATTCAGTTTATAATTCAACTCAAATTTGGGTTTGTTGTTTCTGATTCATATAAAGCTAAATGTATGCTTTTCGTTTTAGCAAATTCTGGAAGAAGAAAATTTCAGAGCAGAAGATTTTAATCTTTTTCAAGTAGCAGGCCAGAAGTGTTTAGAAGAAGGGTATGCCGCCCAGTTATTAGAAGTAATTCAAAATGAAAAAAATAAGGTGAATTTATTTTTTATTATTTATAATTTAGAGGAAGCTTATAAGAAGTAGAAACTTGAACAGATAACTAGGGAAGAATATAAGAACATTGCTTGGGCATGCAGGGATGAAGTCAGGATGGCCAAAGCACAATTGGAGTTGCAACCAGTAAGGGATGTGAAGGGTAACAAGAAGGGTTTCTACACATCTGTCGGTAGCAAGAGGAGGATCAGGGAGAGTGTGGGTCCCTTACTAAATGGGGGAGGCAGCCTTGTGATAGAGGATGCAGAAAAGGCTGAAGTGCTCAATGCCTTTTTTGCCTTAGTCTTCACAGGCAAGGTCAGCTCCCAGACTACTGCACTGGGCAGCACAGTCTGGGGAGGAGGTGAGCAGCCTTCAGTGGTGAAAGAGCCAGTTAGGGACTAGTTAGAAAAGCTGGACGTGTACAAGTCCATGGGGCTGAATGGGATGCACCTGAGGGTGCTGAGGGAGTTGGCTGATGTGATTGCAGAGCCATTGGCCATCGTCTTTGAAAACTCAAGGTGATCAGGAGAGGTCCCAGATGATTGGAAAAGGGCAAACATAGTGCCCATATTTAAGAAAGGGAAAAAGGAAGATCCAGAGAACTGCAGAACATTCAACCTCACCTCAGTTCCTGGAAAAATCATGGAGCAGATCCTCAAGGAATCCATTTCTAAGCACTTGGAGGAGAAATAGGTGATTAGGAACAGTCAGCATGGATTCACAAAGGGCGAAGTCATGCCTGACCAACCTGTTTGCCTTCTGTGATAAGCTGACAGGCTCTGTGGATGCAGGGAGACTGGTGCATGTGGTGTACCTTGATTTAGCAAGGCTTTTGATACGGTTTTCCACAACATTTTCACAGGCAAGCTAAGGAAGTATGGGCTGGATGAATGGACTGTAAGGTGGATAGAAAACTGGCTGGAGCATTGGGCTCAGAGAGTAGTAATCAATGGCTCAATGTCTAGTTGGCAGCTGGCATCAAGTGGAGTGCCCCAGGGGTTGGTCCTGGGACTTTTTTTTTTTCAGTGTCTTCATCAGCAACCTGAAAGATGGCATAGAGTGTACCCTCTGCACGTTTGCAGGTGACACCAAGCTGGGGGGGAGTAGTTGATACGCTGGAGGGTAGGGCTAGGATTCAGCAACCTAGACAAATTGGAGGATTGGACCCAAAGGAATCTCATGAGGTTCAACAAGGACAAGTGCAAAGTCCTGTACTTAGGACAGAACCATCCCATGCACCACTACAGGCTGGCATCTGACTGGCTGGGCAGCAGCTCTGCAGAAAAGGACCTGAGGGTTACAGTGAGAATAAGCTGAATATGAGCCGGCAGTGTGCCCTTGTTGCCAGGAAGGCTAACAGCATACTGGGCTGCATTGGTAGGAGTGTTGCCAGTAGGTCAAGGGAAGTGATTATTGCCCTCTCTTCAGCACTGGTAAGGCCACATCTGGAGTACTGTGTTCAGTTTTGTGCCCCCCACTAAAGAAAGGATGTGAACAAATTGAAGAGATTCCAGTGGAGGGCAACAAAAATGATGAGGGGGCTGGGGGACATGACTTATGAGAAAAGACTCGGGGAATTGGGCTTATTTAGTTTAGAGAAGAGGAGACTGAGAGGGGACTTAATAGCAGCCTTCAACTGCCTGGATGAGGATTCGAACAAGGATGAAACTAGACTGTTTTCAGTGGCGGCAGATGACAGAACAAGCAGCAGCAAGGGAAGTTTAGGTTAGATATTAGGAAGAAAAGCACTGGAACAGGTTACCCAGAGAGCTGGTGGAAGCTCCATCCTTGCAGGTTTTCAAAACTCAGCTAGACAAAGCTTTGATCTAGTTGGGGATGGTCCTGCTTTGAGCAGGGAGTTAGACTAGATGACCTCTTGAGGCCCCTTCCAACCCTAACTTTCTATGTTTCTATGAAATACTTATATACATCTGTTTTACATTGTTTGCTTTGGCCTATTTTGTCTCAATATTTGATTTACAGGTTATTGTCAAGAATATGGGTTGGAATCTTGTTTGCCCTCTTGTCAGGTGTATTTTGAGTTATAAGCAGGAAGATGATAAGAGAGAACGCTGCCTGAAAATATTAGATCAATTGGTGCAGGTATGTTTAAACATACAACCTTAATAGAATGAGACTCATATCATCATATTATTACCACATTACTTGAATGAAGTGTCATCATTGTGAACAATCTACAGTATTTGCTTTGTGAACCTTCTATTTCAGTTAACTAGAAAGGCAGGATGGATTTCCATCATGAACACGATGTCAGTTAATGCCCCCAAAATTGGTCTTTGCTTCTCAGTAAAACTTCCACATTATATTTCTGGGAAGCAGCATAGGCAGGCAAGCAGTCTATACGATAGGAATCAGAGGAAATGGTTTCATTTTATTTTAATTTAGTTGAAGCACCAGAGAACATTCTGGGTTTTCACTTTTAGCAGTTACAATTGTTTCATGCCAAAATAGTACAAAATGTTGGCCCATGGCAAAATGAGGGCATGTCTTTATAGTGCAAACCTGAGACAGCTATTTGGCACACATGCAGAGCCATATTAATGTACCTGCACTGCTTCTGATTGGGGAGCTAGCGTGTGCTAAGGGGAGGGTGGTGTGACCCTGCTTGTGTCATCAGGCAGCCTGATGCTTACCTTGTGCCATATAGGCATGTCCTAAATGTCATTTACCTGTCTTCATTTTAACTTTCTATCAAACTGTGTGCATGCAAGCATGAGCTATATGAAGGTATTTAAAAAAAATGTTTTTTTTTTCATATGCTTTTGTTGTCGCTCAGAACCAGATTTGTAGCTTTTGGAGTGGTTATTATTTTTAAAAAGAATGTAAAATAGACTTTACAGATAAGCAAATATAGAAAGACTTATTTTCTTCTTGCAGCTTAGTAACCCAAAGGAGCTTTTATTGGGTTTACTTGAGCAAATTGAGCAGACGCCTGGGGAACAGATATCTGAAACTATTATGCTCTTGCTTCAACCTCTACAGACAGGTAAAATGCATTTTTTTATCTGGATATACACTTAAAAGTAGCTTTTCCAAATAGCCGTGTTAATTTAGTTTCTATTGAAACAAATTCAGGACATTTCTAGCCTAATATTTTTAGTACTTGTAGTTAAAGTAATGCTACAAGTAATGATATATAATGGCTGATATTCTTCGGAGCATATGAAGGATAATTTCAGAATTTATTTAGACTGATTATAACAACAGAGCCTAGTGATGCAATGAATTGTTAAAGTGGATGGAGATTCATGGAATGGCAATATTCAGTTATTGCTTGTATTAAAAAACTTTGTGTTTTCTCTCAGCCACTGTCATTTTCCTCCTGTAGTAGTCATCTGCATCTGTGACATTTACTCATGTTTCTTTTATGGGAAAAATTATAATGATTTATGACACCAGCTTAAATCTCTTCTTACTTATTTGGTTTAAAAAAATGGAACCAGACATTTTCCATGGTGCTAAGCACTCATTTCTGTCCAATTGAAGTCACAGTTTCTGATTTGAACAATCACATCATTCAGATGACATATTTTACTTGAATTTTAAGTAATCGGCAGCCCATGAGATGTAGGGTGTTAAATGATGTTGGAATTTATGAAGAAGGAAAGCATTTTGATAATTAGGAAGATGATTCTAAAATGGCGATCAACCTTCGGTCCGCAGAGCCGTGACATCTGGCCCGCAGGTTGGAAAACCTGTCAGCGGGAATGATGGAAGCTCCACATGCCAGGCTGCAGCCTCACCTGGCCCTTACAGCAGAGGATCAGGGCTGGGCCCGCCCCCTTTGCATTCAGATCGGGCCAGGCTGCTCCTTCCCCACCCATGTGTCCTAATTGTTCTGTTCCATAACTCTCTGCCCCCCCACTTGTGTCTGGATCAGGTCTGGGCTACTCGCCCCCCTTTCCTATTCCCCACATGTTCAGATTGGCACTGGGCTGCTCACCTCCCTCGCCATGTGTCTGGGCTGAGCTGCTTCCCCACACAGGATTGTGGCTGTCCTGCTTCCCTCTGTTTCAGCTCCCTCCCCTCCGCACCTGCTGCCGTGCATCCAGATCAGGACTGTGGTGCTCTCATGTGTCTGGATTTTGGCCTCTTTGCCCTGCCTGCCCCTAACGTAGGCAGAAGGATCAGGTTAGGCTCTGAACCCTTCCAGTTCCTGCAGCTGGATCGGGCCCACTAACTAGATCCAGCCTAAGGAGGGACCTAGCACTGCCCGTCTGGTCAGTGGGGTGAAAAGGTTAGGCACCACTGTTCTAAAACATTGCCCTGGATTAGATTCTTACTTGGAGCCAGTGTCCCATGAATGTGGATGAGATGAGGAAAGATGCTTTGAAGTACCTAATTTTGGATTTTGGACATTGGGATCAATTTTTCACTGCATAGACTGGGGTAACCCTCATGTGGTGCAAAAGTGTTTAATCTCAGCAGACAATCTAGTTCAATACTGTATTTTCAGATGTATAAAATGCTCCCCCCCCCCCGATAAAGTGCATCTTATAAACTGAAAACATATAATAAAAATAATACGAATTTTAGCTAATTGTTGTTATAAGAATTAAAATATTTTTAATATAAACACTTTTTTCACATTTTAATTCTTTTTTTCTTCGGGGCAGGGGTACATTTTATATACAAAAAGATACTACAGTATTCCTTGTTCTACCTAGGCAGAAAGCATTTCCCTAGGTCAGGGGTCGGCAACCCCCGGCGCACATGCCGAGCATGACATGCAAGGCCATTTTGCTCAGCACACCACAGCCAGTCCCAGCTCTGGATAGCT